TCGCCGCCCGTCGTCTTGGCCTGAGGGTCGGTCTGGCGGTTCCTTGCTCGTCGCCGTCACCGTCCCGTCGCCGCCTCCTCGTCGCTGCCCTGTGCGCCCCCCCAGCGGTTGCAATCCAATCGGTCGCAAGCCAATCAAGTGCAAACCCAGTGGAATCGATTGCAGCCCAATCAGTGGTAAAATTATGCAAACGCAGTTCCCCACATAAAAAATATTAACAGTTTCGTGTGACCCATGGGGTACGACAACATCAACACGAAGGAGAAGCTCATCGAACGAGTAAGTACGCACGAAAGGGCAGACGAAAGAAAGGAGGAGGGAGGACAGGTGCTCAGGAAACGAAGCCTTGTAAATAGTACGGGTTGTTGATACCCTCTTCGCTCTGGCGGGGCCCCGCTGGAAAGGGGGAGGCCTACGAAACCTGGTAAAGAGCAATGCTGTCCGCGACCCTCCTCGTTCAAGCGAGTCCTCCTCCTCCTCCTCCTCGTCCTGCTCCTGCTCGTCCTCCTCATCCTCGGCATCATCATCATCATCATCATCATCATCATCACCAGCATCATCGTCGTCATCATCAGCATCATCAGCAGCATCGTCGTCACCCCGTCGTCGTCGTCATCATCAGCATCATCGTCATCATCATCAGTATCAACATCACCAACATCATCATCATCATCGTCAGCATCATCGGCATCATCATAACCATAATCATCATCCTCATCATCATCAGCATCATCATCGCCAGCGTCATCGTCATCATCATCGTCGTCGCCACCATCGTCATCATCATCATCAGCATCGTCACCATCATCACCATCACCGTCCTTGGCATCATCATCGTCCGCATCATCGTGGACGTCATGATCATCAGCATCATCGTCGTCATCATCACCAACAGCACCAGCAACGTCAGCATCAGCAGCAGCATCGTCATCATCACCAGCATCTGCATCATCATCCTCGTCGTCGTCGCCATCGTTGTCATCATCGTCATCATCATCATCGTCATCATCATCAGCATCATCATCATCAGCACCGTTATCGCCATCGTCATCGTCCATCACCATTATCGCCGTCATCGTGAACAGCAGTATAACCATCGTCATCACCATCATCATGATGAAGCCTTCCTCATCGCAGAACTACCCCTCCTCCTCACCCTCCTCAGTGGGAGGAGTAGGACGTGAGATGGATAGGTAATGTCCTCCCCTCCTCCTCACCCATGTCAGTGGGAGGGGCACGAAACCATTTAAATAGTATGGGTTTCCGATACCCTCCTCGCTCAGACGGGGCCTCCTTGGAGAGGTGGTAGGGCACGAAACCATGTAAATAGCATGAGTTCCGATACCCTCCTCACTCATGCGGGGCCTCCCTGGAGGGGTGGGAGGGGCACGAAACCATGTAAATAGCATGGGTTTCCGATACCCTCCTCGCTCAGGCGGGGCCTCCTTGGAGAGGTGGGAAGGGCACGAAACCATTTAAATAGTATGGGTTTCCGATACCCTCCTCGCTCAGGCGGATGGAAACGGCACGAAACCATGTAAATAGTATGGGTTTCCGATACCCTCCTCGCTCAGGCGGGGCTTGCCTGGAGGGGTGGGAGGCGCACGAAACCATGTAATCTTTATTCTCTTGCACAGCTGTGCTCTAGAGCTCGGACATCTTTATTTTCGTCGTTCGTCGTGTCGTTCGTCCCCCTCGCCCCCCCCCCCTGTCCACGCTTCCCAGGGTAGCCCCCCTGGGCAACGGAACCCTTTATTTTCGTCGTTCGTCGTGTCGTTCGTCCCCCTCGCCCCCCCCCCGTCCCCCTCGCCCCCCCCCCCTGTCCACGCTTCCCAGGGTACCTCTCGCCCCCCCCCGTCCACGCTTCCCAGGGTAGCCCCCCTGGGCCACGGAAACCTTTTATTTTCGTCGTTCGTCGTGTCGTTCGTCCCCCTCGCCCCCCTCCCGCCCCCCTCGCCCCCCCCCTGTCCACGCTTAAGGTACCCCTCGCCCACCCCCTT